TAAGTTCATTAAGAATCATTGAAGTCCATGAAATCTATTATAGTTCATTAAGATTCATCGAGTCCTATGACCCATCAAAACCCGTTATAAACCTAATCAAGTTCTGTAAGAGTCATATTATGCCTATAAAAAGACCAATGTTGTTCATTAAGAGCCACTAAACCCCCTTAAAGTCCAATACATTTCATTAACAACCAGTAACTCCATTACAATCGATCACATACCAAGCAACCATGACCTAGTACATACCTTGTTGCAAATATCTCCCTTAATTTATAAATCTTTAATATTAATTATCATCGACATAAATTATTGATTGATGTTATGGGTTTGTCTCTCTCTATTTTTCTTAATAAAATGTTAAACGATATATATATATATATATATATATATATATATATATATATATATGTATATATGTATGAAAAGACCTTCGTCAAACAATTTGTAAAATATAAAGGCACAAATCAATAAGTAACAAGTAATATATATAATTATTCTTTGTTTCATATGTTACAGCATGAAAGTGAATAATATTTAATATGGTGGAGTCGTGCAAGTAGGTACTGTACTTGGTATTTAGCTGAATCATTAAGAATCAAAAACCGACCACAATCCTCATCCCATGAACATGTTCCTCCTACTCCAAGTAAAAAACAAACATTTAGGAATATATGGGTTGTTTCAATTTCATCTTGATCTTCTCTTCTCTTTACCAATTAAATATACTTCTATCTTTTCTAATATTTTATTTACATAGAAATATCGATTTGTTATTCAAAAGAATAAATCGTATAAAAATATAATGTACTTTTATTTGATTCTTATTTTTGCTGACGTACTTTCACAACTTCAATTTTGGTATTTAAGATGTAAAATTTTAAATGTTTAAGTACTTGGGTACCAGTTGAAGTATAATTAACCGGTTACTATATATGCTGATGTGGTGAGTATATGGTATCCAACTCAGTATTACTTGTTATTCAACCCAATTTTATCTCATCACTCGTCACATCAACATGGTAACCCGTGTATTTAAATATTTAAAATTTTACATTTTAGGTACTAAATTAAAATAAAAGTTTTAAAAGTACGTTACCTAAAATAAAAATACAATTAAAATACATTATTTTTTCATATAATTTATCATATTCAAAATGTTTAAACAGCTCATAATGAAATATAAACTTCTATAAATTGTAGTAAGAGTTACTAATTTTCAGTAAATAATGATTAGATGGTAAAAACTTTATCCTTTGTTAATGTATTTTTTTTTATAATAACTTAGTTGGTAAAAAAATGAAGCAACTTTACTTAAGTAAATGAAAAAGTTATAAAACAATGAGGTTTATAATTTTCAGCCATAAGGATCTAGTAGAGTGAGATGATTGTACTTAAGAATAAGGTTCTAAATAATCTGATGCATGGCGTAATGGTAAGGTCAAACCTTGAGTCGAGGTCACGATGTTTTTCAAGACGTGCTTTAAGGCGGCATATACACAAACACTTTTGTGTGTGTGTGTGTGTGTGTTAATTAGTGTTTTGAATAATATATAGAACAAATTAAATTCATATAGAGTGACAAAACTAAAAAAGAAAGAAGAACAATTGATACCAAATATATAGAACTTATAAAAATGATATCAAAATTGCAAGATCGAGATTAAATCTCTTGAATTTTAACTCACTACTTTCTTTAAATTTCAAAGAATTTGCATTCGACTCTTCATTTATGGGAACGGGAATAAGTATTTACTAAGTTAGGGTTTTAGCTTTAAAGTTTATTTTTTCTTTTTGTATTTAAGTCTTACTTCGGGTACATAATTAACATTTATCTCTCAAGTCATATATTAAAAAACATCACACCTTATAAAATAATGCATCATAACGTGTTTGTAACGTGTCATAACACGTTCGCTACTAGAAAACTAGGTATTTCTGGCGGAAAAGTCCGTCGGAAAATTATCGGCGTATTTCCGGCAGACAACTAAAAAGTCAACTTTCGTTGACCTTCGCCGTAAATATATTTCGACACTATTTTCGGCGGATTTTACAAATTAAATTTTATGAAATTATTAACTCTAATTACAATAAGTTATCAGCGGATTTCTGGTGGATTTTTGATTAATTTTTCAATATTAACGTCCGCTGTTATTGCATCGGAAAATAATTAAAAATTAAAATTTATTATTTTTAAATTTCTAACGGATTACCGGCAGCCACCGGTATTAAAATAATAAATTATTCAAGAGTTAAAAAAATATTGGTTTCCAGCGGATTTTCGACGGATTATTTTCGGCGGACTATATATATATATATTCATTTTTCATACTTTTGGTTTTTTATATATGAAAAATATTGCAAATATTCGTGGATAATAATTCTTTTATCGAGTCCAGCACACAACTTACATGTATGCAATACATACTTATATACAAACATATTATCCAAGGTCATTGTTATTATTGGACTTTAAAGATTATTAAAAAAGTCTTATTTGGGTTTAACAGGTCTTAGTTAATCCCAATACACAGCACATCCTCATATACAATACATGTCTTCTCACAAACACGTTATACGCTTTATATTGAATTTTTGAAGAATCTATTGGGCTTTAATGTATCTATTGGGTTTTATTTAATCGTATTAGGCTTTAATAGTTCTATTGAGATTTAATGGATATATTAGGCTTTATTTGATCGTATTGGACTTTAATTGATCTATTAGGCTTTAATTAGTCGTATTAGACGTTAATGGATGTTAGTTGAGCTTTATCAGTTTTATTGGGATTTAATGAATATATTGGGCTTTATTTGATCGTATTGGACTTAATTGATCTATTGGGCTTTAATGTATATTATTTGGGAGTTGATACAAAGTTGTGGGAGGTTGGGGGAAGAAAGAAAGATCGTCTATTTGGGTTTGCGTACAACCATGATCCCAATTGAGTCTTCACTAGGAACTACACACAGGGTGGTCCATCGTCTTTAGAGAGTCGGGTGTGTGCCTCTTTTTCTTTGATGATGTTTATCGATTTAGTTTATAATACATATTAAATATTATAACGTTTTCTTTATTTTATAAGAAATTGAAGCCTTAAGAACCGAATTTAGAGATTTAAAGGAAGAATATCAGCGTTTTAGGATGGAGGAGGAGCTTCGATGGGCAGAGGAGCAGTGACGGCAGGCGGAGGTGGAGAGACAGCAGGCGAAGGAGAAGGAGCGTTGACAGGGGTTAGATGAGAGACTGAATAAACAACTCGAAGATATGGCTGTTTTGGTTAGACAACTCAGTCAATCTTAACATTTCCCGTCACCACCGTGTTGAATATCCGTGTGTTTGGAACAATTTAGTTTTAACAATTGTGTGCTACTTTAAATTGGTCGGGATAATTGTATTGGACATTCTTTATTTTTTTAGTTTAATGTATGATATTTAGCGGCATTTAATTTTAGTTTTTTTTTAATATTTATAGATTTTAAATATTTACTGGAAAATTATTTAAAAAAAATTCCGGCTGATTTAAAATTTAAAATAAATTTCCAGCGAATTTTAAAAAATAAAAATAATTATTTAAAAAATTAAATTAAATTTCTAACGGATTATATTACCGGCAGATACAATATCGAAACAAGATCTTCAATGAGTTCTTCATAATCAACGTTATCCAAAAAGATTGTGATCAAGACAAGTATGTTAAGTTTATCTTGTATCATTGTGGAGTGTAAATAGGATTTCAACAGTTTCAACTTTGAAAAACTTCTTTCTACAGATACAACAATTACAAGAATAGTCAACAAAACTCTATAAGTTAAATTTATATACATTTATCAAATAAATGTCTTTGTTTTCTGTAAAAAATTGAATTTACATTTTGTTTTTCAAAGAAGAAAAGTTTCTTCTAAAATCATACATAACATATTCCTCCTCCATCCTTTATTTCATCCATCGATTCCTTTCTTAGGTTTAAACAAAAATAAGAGGATGGTAAGACCTTTTTATACCAAGGGTGGTAATGGGTCAAATTAGGTTTGGTTCGAGTTTAACCCATTTATCAAACAAGTTGAAAATCCCAATCCAAATTATTTAAATAAATGGGTTGAGATATTTTAACCCAACCTTACATATTATCTAAATTGGTTGACATGTTTATGACTTTCTCAATCTGATTAAATAAATGGGTCGAACTTGGGTTAACTGATTTAATTTTAAATTTTAAATAAAATAAAAAAAATTAAACTATTTAATTTTATGAATAAAACACAACCACAACCACAAATATAAATAAATTGTACAAAGTTTGAATAAAACATAACAACAATAAATACATTGTTCAAAATATATTGGAAACCTTTAATTAATAAGTAACTCGACTTCCACTTTCACCAACTCCAATTTCACTCTCGGTATTATTTTCCTCTTGATTCTCTATCTTCTCTGTCATGATTGCTCCACATAATGCGTCGAGATGTGATGTCATTGGTGCTACAAAAATAAATTAATTAATTAACTTAGTTATAGCAAATACATGGTTTTATACAATAATACGAAGTATACAAATAAGAAGTTAGAACAAAACTTCTCTATATGCCCAATCTCTTAGATCAAAAAGGAAATAAAATAAAGAAAACAATCAAAATCTGTTTGTTCGACAAGAGACTGGAACAATAAGAAGAAATAATTTAACAACGAGAAAACTTACTAGTTATTATTGACAATAATTTAGTATAATATCTATTATATTGATTAATTAATATTTTTTTAAATGTGAGGAAAATGACAAAATACTAAAATACCCTCTGGTTTTTAACCGTCGTTCGGAGAAAGGATCAAATATGAACGTTTTTTACAAATTACGATGACCATCGTCTCTTTTCAAAATTAAGTGGATGTAAACCGTTATAACTAACAAACCGTAGGGACCAAGATTGTAGTTTACTCATTTAATTAAAATTTCATTCCTGAAAAATTATCGCCGCTCTCCAAATACGGTTTCTCTCGATTTCTTCTGCTCTGGATCTGCACGGCAACCAACGGTGGTAATTTTTGCAACGATCACCATCTCTCATCTCGATCTGCAAGGCGACGAAAAGAGGTAGGTTTTCCTTTTATTATATCTTTGAATTTCTGCTGATTTCTGGGTTTACTCATATATTAGGGCTATTTGTATATTTTCTGTGAAACTTGGGTGATTTCTCTTGGTAGTGCTGATAATTTGACCCTTTTGCTGTTGATTTAGGAAAAAAAATCTCTAATCTAATTGTATAGGTTACATTTTGTTGTAGACTTCAGGCAGCAAAATATACTGTGGTTTCTTGACAAGCCTGCTATGTGTTTCATCTTTAATCTATTTATACCAAATAAAAGAACGTTATGATGTCTAGACTATGTTCTTGTTACATTTTCAATACTGTTCTTTAAACTTTTTATACCAACCTGCTTGTTTCTTCTGTAAATATATCCATATGATGTATGCTGGAAGCGTTGTCAGCTATGTACTGTATTTTTTCCTTGCAGGGTAAGTTCTAGAATATGGTAGACTATTTTTGAAACTAGATTGTGAGGAGTGACTCCTGAGAGAGAAATGTTGGGATCATTGCCAATATTGCCCCTCCCAGCACCACCCACCGATGGGGATCTGGGTCCTCTGCCTCAATCTCAAGTACAGAATGACCCCAAGGATGAGCATATGCAGGAGGCTGAGAATGATCAGAATAAGTCAAATTCCACCCCGGCTTCAATTGCCACACACACCAGAACAATTGGTATCATACACCCTCCCCCTGACATCAGGACGATAGTGGACAAAACTGCAAGTTTTGTGGCAAAGAATGGACCCGAGTTTGAGAAAAGGATCATTGTTAGCAATGCCGGAAATCCCAAGTTCAATTTTTTGAATGCTTCAGATCCCTATCATGCCTATTACCAGCATCGACTGTCTGAGTTCCGTACTCAGAATCAAACCCCATCTCTTTTACCTCAGCAATCTGATGCACCTGCTCCTGAGTCAACCCCTTCTGCTGCTCCTGCAGATGGCAATAATGCAACTGAGAAGACTGATCCCTCAGCAAAGTTTAGACCCATTCGGAAAGTTCTGGATCCCCCAGAGGCTGAGCAGTTCACAATTCGGCTTCCAGAGGGTATTACAGGGGAGGAGTTGGACATTATTAAACTTACCGCACAGTTTGTGGCACGGAATGGCAAGTCCTTTTTAACTGGATTAACTAGTAGAGAGAATAACAATCCTCAATTTCACTTTTTGAAGCCCACCCACAGTATGTTTATGTTCTTCACATCACTCGCGGATGCCTACTCTAAAGTCTTGATGCCACCTAAAGGGTTGACAGATAAGCTGAAAAAAAGCGTTACTGATATGACCACTGTACTTGAACGGTGTTTGCACAGACTCGAGTGGGAGCGTTCCCAGGAGCAGGCAAGGCAAAAAGCCGAGGATGAGATAGAACAGGAAAGACTACTCATGTCTATGATTGATTGGCATGATTTCGTTGTTGTTGAGACCATAGATTTTGCAGATGATGAAGATGAGGATTTACCTCCTCCAATGACTCTAGAGGAGGTTATTAGGAGGAGCAAGATGTCAGCTGTGGAGGAGGAAGAGATTGTTGAACCTGGGAAAGAAGTGGAAATGGAAATGGATGAAGAAGAGGTACAACTTGTTCAAGAAGGTATGCGGGCGGCAAGTCTTGATGAAAACAGTGATGATACAAAGGATGTGAGGGTGATTCCGGAGGAAAACGAACCTCCAATGAGGATTGTGAAGAACTGGAAGAGGCCTGAGGATAGGCTTCCGGCAGAGAGAAACCCGACTAAATATGTTGTTTCGCCAATCACGGGTGAACTTATTCCGGTCAACGAGATGTCTGAGCATATGCGTATTTCTCTTATTGATCCCAAGTACAAAGAACAAAAGGAGAGAATGTTTGCAAAGATTAGGGAGACTACGCTTGCCCAGGATGACGAAATCTCCAGAAATATTGTTGGCCTTGCACGGACCCGTCCTGATATATTTGGGACCACAGAGGAAGAGGTTTCGAATGCAGTTAAGGCGGAAATCGAAAAGAAGAACGATGAGCAGCCAAAACAGGTTATTTGGGATGGACACACTGGTAGTATTGGCCGCACTGCAACTCAAGCTATGTCCCAGAATGCAGAGGATCAAATTGACGGTGTAAATGATGGAAGGAATCTTCCTGGTCCTGCAGCTCCTCCTCCTAGACCTGGTGTTCCATCAGTTCGGCCACTTCCTCCACCACCTGGGCTTGCCTTGAATCTTCCTCGTGTGCCGCCTAATGCCGCCCAATACTCGACTGTAACCAGTGGTGGTCTGCCACCTCCGTCTAGGCCGCCATCAATGGTTACACCACTACGTCCGCCACCACCCCCGATGCAAATAAATTATGGACAACAAGCTTACATGATGAATCGGCCACCACCACCGCCAATGCAGCAGTCTATGTCCGTCAACCCACCTAGTATTCCGGTGCCGCCACCACCAGGATCTCAGTTCACGCCGCTTGCACCCCGTCCTTTTGCTCCCCTTTCCATGCCCCAGCATGGCATGCCGATGGTTCCTCCACCACCTATGCCTCAAGGAATGCCGCCACCACCACCACCACCAGAGGAAGCTCCTCCTCCGCTTCCTGAAGAACCTGAGCCAAAGAAGCAAAGACTAGATGATTCTTTGCTTATCCCCGAGGAGCAGTTCATGGCTCAACATCCGGTATGCTTTGTAAAGCTCATGTTTTTAAGATTTGTGTATTCTTTCTTTTGCTAGTAGATTGCTATTATAAGTAGTTGGTTTTATTAATTGAAAGTTATGTTGGGTGGCTTATTACAGGGACCCGTTCGTATTAGTGTATCGGTGCCAAATGTTGATGAAGGAAATCTGAAAGGGCAAGTATTGGAGATCAGTGTTCAGTCGTTGTCTGAGACGGTTGGCAGTTTAAAGGAGAAGATTGCTGGAGAGATTCAGCTGCCTGCAAACAAACAGAAACTGAGTGGGAAGGCTGGGTTTCTCAAGGACAACTTATCTCTTGCATATTATAATGTTGGTGGAGGCGAAATGCTTTCTTTGTCTTTGAGAGAACGTGGCGGTAGGAAGAGGTAAGCGGTAACTCCGATCTCTCAACATTCATTCATGTATTACCAAAATATATAGAAGATTGCATTGCTGTTTCAAATTCAATAGATTGTTAACATCGTGGTAAGGATGATATAGACAATCGGGATGTAGCTGTACATTGGTTTTGCTTCTGCTACTTATATCTAATTTTGCCTTTATTTTTTATTTATTTTTTGTTTTTATGGAACCAACATTGTTTATATAGATGATCCTCCTATCTTTTCCGGTGAACACCAACCCCTCGACCATGCTTTCCGGCAAACACTAACCTCTCTATGCCCCTGTTTTTTTGGCGAACATCAATCTCCCGCGTATGTTTTCTAGCAAACACTATACTACTAGTGAGCACATGTACAGATCTGGCAAACACTCCACATATTTGTCAACCATTCTCCCGTCACCACACATCCGACTACTACACATTCCATCTCCATCTACCCCCTCAACCTTGTTTGTGCATTAAATCCAGATCTCGAAATCACCATGAAAGAACACCGACGTCTGATTTCGACCTCATACTCAGATTCTTCTACTCACCATTCAAACCACATCCATTTGAGCAATGACAGTGTGCACATTGCCATCCCACGACCATTTTCCAGAGTGCACACGCTATGCATAATGTGTGGTGCGCTTGTGCTTACATTGTGTTGTACAAAACTTGGTTCATGGTAGTGTTCCATAAGACTATACTAAAACGGCAATCATCTCATTAATTAATAAAATTAATTAATTCCATAATTATATATATTTAAGTTTAATCATTTGAGAACTTAAAAATATGTAAGATCCATGAGATGGTTAAATAGATGATTATCGTTATTTATTTAATAAAAATAATAATTCATTTTTAGGGAATTTCCGGACTTATCTCTCTCTCTCTCTCATCTTTCTCTCTTCTATCAATGTATTAACATACACATCGTGTACACAATGTAAACAAACTTAATAAATTTTTTAGTAGGGTGTTCACAAGGTTCATATTATGTTTATAAGTGGTATGTTTAGATTTAACTTTATTTTTTTAATTTGTGTTCACAATATGTTTTGCGGTTATACCAAATCTATGTAAATTTATAGTGTGTTTACAAAATATAATAGTATTTCTAAGAAAGTTTTCACAATGTTTCACCATTCATTTCTAGTATGTGTCTATGTGTATGTTATGGAGTGATGACAGGGAAGAGGGAAGACATGAGATATAAGAGAGAAAAAATAGGTGAAAGGAGAGAGAAAGAGAATTTTTTAATTTATATTAGATTTTTATAAATTTTAGATTTTTTTAATTAAATTTTTTTAATTTAAATTGTATCTTACATATCTCGTAAATTAGCAAGTTCTAGTATGTTATAATGGGAGGATAGGGGAGAAAGAATATGGGAGATATGAGAGAAAGATTAGGTGGGAGGAGAGTCAAAGAGAAGTTTTTAATTTATATTAGATTTTTTTTAAGTAATTTTTTATAATTTAAAATGGATCTCACCAATCTCGCAAGGAGCTGGTTTAAATGTTAACCAAGTTTATTGTGTTAACTTTGTTAATCAATCTTGACCATTGATTTTTAAAATAAACGGTTGTGATTCATCATATTAAAATTTTAATTTTTTAAATTTACAAATTTCATAAACATATGTGAACTAAGTGGAAAGGGTATTTACGTAATTTTCTTTTTATGTAACTCCCATATCATTAATTGGGAGTTACAAAATAAAAAAAAAATCTCATGATTTTTGTTAATGTAAGAACCATATGAACAGACACACACACACACATACACATATATATATATACATATATATATATATATATATATATATATATGAACAATTGTGTCAAATACTAACAAAGGGGAGCGATCAAATGCAAACCACTCAATTTGTACAAACCGTGCAAACCGCATTCAACCAATCATAATTTTTCATTTTGTTCATTTTTTTTGTAATTATGAGAGGTTGATTAATCATTTTTATTGTGGATGGTGTTAATCATAGATATTATCATCTTCATTATTTTAATTTTAGAGAAATACATGAAACAGTTTCATTAATGTTAGAGAAATACATGAAACAGTTTCATTAATGTTAGAGAAATACATGAAACAGTTTCATTAATGTTAGAGAAATACATGAAACAGTTTCATTAAGTATTATATGAAACAATTTCACAACCATATAAGAAACAACTTCATCAAAAAAAGTATTATATGAAACAATTTCACAAGATTAAACAATTTCATGAAAAAATTTCATAAGATTAAACAATGAAATCGACAGATGAAGGTGGTTTGCACGGTTTACACAAATGAGGGCGGTTTTCATATGATCACTCCTCTACTAACAAATATTGACATATATATGAACTTGGACTGCATAGCATTTATGAACACAATATGAACATAATAAGAATAGTTGTTACACGAATGGAAATAAATAAATAAATAAAACATGTATGAACACAATATGACAGCTTGTGAACAATAGTTCCTTCATTATAAACATATTTGGGAGCGAGCCAATATTGAGATATGCAGCTACTATACATATAAACACAATATGAACACTTGTGAACAATAGTTCCTTCATTATGGACACATTCAGAAGCGAGTCAATGTTGAGATATGCAACTAGTGTACATATGAACACAATATGAACAATTTATTAACAATAGTTCATTCATTAATGAACACATTCAAGAGCGAGCCAATGTTGAGATATGCAGCTAGTGTACATATGAACACAATATGAACACTTGTAAACAATAGTTCATTCATTATGAACACTTGTGAATAATAGTTCATTCATTATGAACACTTGTGAATAATAGTTCATTCATTATGAACAATGGATTTATTCATAATAGCTTGAACGATACCGAAAATTTTACTACCGGATCTCCTCTACCAATCACAAATTTAAAAATATTATAGTTAGAAAAATCGATATTATAAAAAAAAATCAAGATCAATAATAAATTAACAAAAATCATGGGATTTTTTGATTTTGTAACTCCCAATTAATGATATGGGAGTTACATAAAAAGAAAATTACATATTTACCTTTGTCATTAAATATAAGATGAATATGAACCTGTATATAAGATAGATTGTCATTGGTTGAAAATGGTTAACACAATAAACTTGGTTAATATCTGAACAGACTTTAAATTTATAATACTCATGCTTATGTATATAATAATAATATATGTGGATGCGAATATACATATATATATATATACTTAAAAACATAGGGGAGCGATCAAATGCAAACCACTCAATTTGTACAAACCGTGCAAACCGCATTCAACCAATCATAATTTTTTCATTTAGTTCATTTTTTTGTAATTATGAGAGGTTGATTAATCATTTTTATTGTGGATGGTGTTAATCATAGATATTATCATCTTCATTATTTTAATTTTAGAGAAATACA